TGACATGTCATTGCGGCGTTGTAGTAGAAATAAGGGGGCTTTGTGTAAGCGAGCTGTAGGGAGATTAGGTAAAATACTGTTTGTTTATTGTTACTAGGTAAAACACACATACTGTTTGCTTCGTGTAAAAGCATAGGAACAAGGGCATTCTCTATCGTTGCGTCGGCGTTAAAAGCAATGTTACAATCGATCGCGTGAACAATGTTTAGATGGTTTGACTATGTCTGTATGTTGGCCCAAAAACAATAACCCTAGACATGAACCATCAGCCGGCATCAGCCCACGATTAGTGTACACGAACACAGCTAGAGAAGAAAGGAGTCAATGAAAAAAATATGCTCAAAGGACAAACACAGACAAGAGAAAACAAAACAACAAGAGTCAAAAACAGATAAATCGTGACGATGACTGAAGAAACCCAGCCTGCATTGGACACACGCACAAACACACACACATGCACACAAACACACACACACACGAAGAAACAAAATTGTGGGGGCACAATTTAAAAGAAATGAGCCTGAAAATGTGACGGAAGCCACATTTTTTTTTCGAATCACAGCTTACAGGAATTGACAGAATCATAAGGCATGCATATTGGTGTGAGACTAAAAGCCAAACACGCAAAAGTGAAATCATCTGAGAAGAACGGCGCTTCAATTCCCGACACCTTCATGGATAACGCGGGTCAACAGGGCGCAGGCGGCAGATGGTCTACCCCACCTGGACCCGACGTAGCGCCGACCCCTCTTATCGGTCGCACGCCAATTGGGTGGCCACGTCAAAAACGGGCTACACCTGGCACTGCAGAGGTGTAAACACTGCCGCCTCCCCGCCCGCATATACAGGAAAAGCTCATAACGGAACTTTATCTCTCCAAAGCGCAATCGGCCGGCATCCTGTGCGCCAACCCTCTGCACCTGCGCCTGGGATATCGCCACCGGCACCGCCTCGACCTAGTGGATCGACACCAGTGTGAGCATGTCAAACAAGAAACAGCTGACGCAGGGACCCCTCGGGCCGTATCATGCCGCAAGTGCCGCAAATAGAAGGCGTCAAGCCATCAAAATTACACTCACGCCGACGAAGTTATCAGCCGCCGACAGATGCTAACCAAAAGTCCCAGTCACCCTCCCTGCGGAATCGGAGGTGCAAATATGTAGGGGAGAGTGGGGCAAAGCGGCCACCCGGGGCAAAGCGGCCACCCATCGTTTTAGCCCTTCATAGCTGGCGTCAGTTCCAATTTATGGTTTCCAATTATACTTCTCTTCACGGTCGTTCGAATGAGCCAGACCGGGGTTTCAGGCCCATCACCATTGTTCTGTGAAACACGGAAAAGCATTTCTTGCCAGGTTACCAACTATGTTTACAATTTTTAAATGTTATGTTATTCCATAACCGTTAGGAATTTTTATAAGCGTTCTTGTCCATGCATTGCATGGTTATCGTACATGTATTCTACCAATTTTAATGTTTTCTACCCCACTAATAGCTAAGCTGGAATATTTTTGTCTCGGACGTTATGCGCGGGGCAAAGTAGCCGGGGCAAAGTGGCCACCCCCCAATTGGCCATAAGCTGCTTCCATCTGGATAAAAAACATTATTTATATTCAAATGTGTCGTCATGCATTCATCTTGGCCAATTTCCAGTTGCATGAGTTACCAAATAATGCAATTAAATGTTTTTTTTTCATGAAAATCCTTTCTTTGTTTACCTACAGATGGAAGATGATAAAGTAAACATCCATCCTCGCTTAACCTTGTCACCATCAAATACCCTAGTCGTACACGAGGCAACTATTTAGTTTCTCATGTCGGGACTTGAGAAGACGCCGGTGGCCGCTTTGCCCCAGGGTATGGGGCAAAGTGGCCAATATGCATAGGTTTAAAGTTTTGTCAATATCTTTCATATGTGAACGCCTTTGGAAATAAAACGCAGTTGAAATAAAAGGCAACTTAATAGGGATCTCATTGGTATAGAAAGAATCTTTCCAAGTTTAAAAATCAAGGGTTGGCATCGTGAGAAGCGTTAGGGTGGCCGCTTTGCCCCACTCTCCCCTACGTCCAGAAGAGCAGATGTTCCGTGCCGGGAGTGGGACACGCCAATGCCCATATCTGGCATTCACCTGACGAGCAGCGACGCCGACGGTCGGGGACTTCTGATACTGGACGGCAGCTGGGACAAATGAGCGTCCAGCAAACAGAGTAATAACTGACGAATTCGCTAATATCACAAGCGTTCGGCCAAAACAGGAACAGCTGGGAAGTTCAATGACCATGGCGGACCATACATACCCGAGATATCGTAATTACAACCAAACCAAGCAATAAAGCGCCGACGCCGGACAGTGTACCTCAGCTTCCCAGCAGAACAAAGGTGTGCACGACAGATGGCAAGAAGATAGCAAAAGTGATAAGCACTGCACCCGGCCCAATTACAACCAGCTGGAAGAAAGTCAATAACCAGGACCGATGCTACTCATGAGTCATCATACAGATAAAGATACTAGGCCTATCACGCCACACCGACGAATATCTAGCCATGCTTATCACACCTGGAACACCAACGCGATAGTAATCTGGGTATAAAGGAACGAGGCAGTCATGGAGGAGGTACCGAGGAGTGCACAGGACACCGGAGTGCACGGAGCATCGAGTCCGGTTAGGCGGAGCGCAGAGGACACGGCAGTGCACGGAGGATGGAGTACGACGGGAGGAGCGCGACGGGCAGCAGCTGACGAGGGAAGATCCAGTACGACAGTGATCGAGAGCTGGATCGAGGAAAGTGCACGCTCTCAGCCATCGACAACGGACAAACTGCTGTCATCATCGACCTCTCGGTGACAGGCCTGGTCAACGCCGTTCAAGTAAGAATTGCCAGTTGCCACAGAAAGGAAGTCTGCTCAATCCTTGCCAACATGCAATCATTCAGCTCCCGTCCCTCATATATTCACTCCGTGATTTGCACCAACCGGCTGATGGTTCAGAGCTACCTTTCTCGGGCTGAGCGTAAGGATTAGGCACATAGCGACAACACCATGTAAGCTTCTTTTTTTTGGGGGGGGGGCACAAAGCGTGAAGACGTGAAGATTTTAGAATGGGTTGATTGGGTAAGTTTATTGGGTGATTCGATAGGACTCGGGGACTCAGTTTTTAATTGGATCGCTGTCGAATCATTGCGTCAGGGCTGGTCGGAAGTGACGAATTATGTTGCGTGATGGGAAGGTTTGCTGCGCGGGTGTGTAGATTTGGGTAACAGATAGCACGATGTTATTTCTGTTTTGAAACGAAAATCAAGGCGAGGGTGCGTCTGGTAATCATGAGGACTGCGCTTGAATTTGGTTTATTTACTCCGAGGTGTATTGCATGAATAAAACCCTGAAAGTTTAGCGGCATGAGTATAAGAAAGGTCAGGTGTGATGACAAGGGCGATAGGGGCGACGTTTATCTAACAGACGTGAATACCTGGCCAAATGTGAGCGAGTATGGGGAAACATCGAAATGGACCAACCCATAGCAATGTAATGTTCTCGTAATCCGGTCTCCCTCTCCCTCTCTCTCTCTCTCTCTCTCTCTCTCTCTCTCTCTCTCTCTCTCGCTCTCTCTCTCTCTCTCTCTCCCTCTCTCTCTCTCTCGCTCTCACTCTCGCTCTCGCTCTCTCTCCCTCTCCCTCTCTCTCTCTCGCTCTCTCTCTCTCGCTCTCGCTCTCGCTCTCGCTCTCGCTCTCGCTCTCGCTCTCGCTCTCGCTCTCGCTCTCGCTCTCTCTCTCTCTCTCTCTCTCTCTCTCTCTCTCTCTCTCTCTCTCTCTCTCTCTCTCTCTCTCTCTCTCTCTCTCTCTCTCTCTCTCTCTCTCTCTCTCTCTCTCTCTCTCTCTCTCTCTCTCTCATATATCGACACGATTAGCCTAAACCGTACAACACAGTAAGTTAGAGACCTAGACAGTTCAACTAGCCGGAGAGAGGCTGGTTCGAGCCGGGCCCCTGTGCCTGTTTAGACTCGACTGACGTCGTCAATCACTGCGAGGTGGAGAATGAGTATTCCGCGACTCGATGAGCTCGAACGCGTATTCCCATGAATTATAGCAAGGCACCGAGCGGCTAGCCGTCCGTGTCGACCGGACTTTGAAGGGCTAGGGCTAAGTGTAAGAGTGTAAGAGCGATAAACGAGGGCAAGGTTGCCGAGTTATAGTGTCGCGGAGTGGCTCCGCCGAGGTGTTCAGAAGAAACACAGAGTTATGGTTTCGCGGAGTGGCTCCGCCGAGAGTATAAACATTTAGGAACTTATCCCTCAACTGAAGCACAACCGGACCACCCACAACACCGAGTCGACAGACCGGCAGAGGTGCGTACAACCGTTGTTTCCTTTGAGCATGGGCGAAATTATCCGCACTGTGGCAGTGCGCGCGCGAGAGATAGAGGTGGTCGATGGAAATGTAGAGTTGTTATGCGGAGTGGCTCCGCCGAGAGTATTATCATTTAGGAACTTATCCCTCAACTGAGGCACAACCGGACCACCCACAACACCGAGTCGACAGACCGGCAGAGGTGCGTACAACCGTTGTTTCCTTTGAGCTTGGGCGAAATTATCCGCACTGTGGCAGTGCGCGCGAGCGAGAGAGAGGTAGCCGATGGAAATGTATGCACTGTGGCAGTGCACGTGATTGAAGAGCAGGCAGTGGCCGGGAGCGCATGAGAAACGTAGCTTCAACGGAAGAGAGTAATAACGTAAATGGGGTCAGAAGGACACCCAGTGCCAATTTGCTTAGGATTCAGGGATTTAAAGGGGTTAACACCTCCTTATACGCACATAAGTATCAAACAGGGCATAAACTTAATGAGAGTGCCAGCAAGGTGGCACAGGCAGCTGGCCTTCCTGATGAGCTGACTTCTCGAGCCAAACAGTCTAGGGGAGAGAAGAAAGCGAGGAAGAGCATCTCAAAGCTGGGACTCAAGCTGGTGACCGGCGTGCAGCGCGTCACGATCCGACGCTCCAAGAACATCATGTTTGTCATCAACAAGCCGGAGGTGTTCAAGTCGCCGGCGTCGGACACGTACATCGTGTTCGGCGAGGCCAAGATCGAGGACCTGGGCCAGCAGGCGCAGGTGGCGGCCGCCGAGAAGTTCAAGACGCCGGAGGTGAACCCGACGGCGGAGGCGCCGGCGGCCGGCGCGGCCGTGCCCGACGCCATCCAGGAGGCAGTCATGGAGGAGGCACCGGGGAGTGCACAGGGCACCGGAGTGCACGGACCATCGAGTCCGACCGAGGAGTGCACAGGACACCGGAGTGCACGGAACATCGAGTCCGACTGGGCGGAGCGCAGAGGACACGGCAGTGCATGGAGGATGGAGTACGACGGGAGGAGCGCGACGGGCAGCAGCTGACGAGGGAAGATCCAGTGCGACAGTGATCGAGAGCTGGATCGAGGAAAGTGCACGCTCTCAGCCATCGACAACGGACAAACTGCTATCATCATCGACCTCTCGGTGACCGGCTTGGTCAACAGCGCCGTTCAAGTAAGAATTGCCACAGAAAGGAAGTCTGCTCAATCCTTGCCAACATGCAATCATTCAGCTCCCGTCCCTCATATATTCACTCCGTGATTTGCACCAACCGGCTGATGGTTCAGAGCTACCTTTCTCGGGCTGAGCGTAAGGATTAGGCATAACGACAACACCATGTAAGCTTTTTTTAGGGGGGGGACAAAGCGTTGATTGGGTAAATTTATAGGGTGTCTCGATAGGACTCGGAGACTTTTTTTATTGAATCGCTGTCGAATCATTGCGTCAGAGCGGGTCGGAAATGACGAATTATGTTGCGCGATGGAAAGGTTTGTTGCGCGGGTGTGTAGATTTGGGTAACAGATAGCGCGATGTTTGTTTTGAAACAAAATCGAAGCGAGGGTGCGTCTGTAGATCATGAGGTCTGCGCTTGAATTTGGTTTATTTTACTCCTAGGTGTATTGCGTGAATAAAACCCTGAAAGTTTAACGGCATGAGTGTAAGGAAGGTCAGGAGTGATGACAAGGGTGATAAGGGCGACATTTACCTAACGGGCGTGAATACCTAGCCAAAACTGAGCGAGTGCGGGGAAACATCGAAATGGACCACCTCTTGACAATTTGTCTTATACTCCGATCTCTCTCGCTCTCGCTCCCTCTCTCTCTCTCTCTCTCTCTCTCTCTCTCTCTCTCTCTCTCTCTCTCTCTCTCTCTCTCTCCCTCTCTGTCTCTCTCTCTCCCTCTCTCTCTCCCACTCTCTCTCCCTCTCTCACTCCCTCTCTCTCCTCTCTCTCTCTCTCTCTCTCTCTCTCTCTCTCTCTCTCTCTCTCTCTCTCTCTCTCTCTCTCTCTCTCTCTCCCTCTCTAGGTTGTATTCACTATCTTGCCCCCAATGATTGTGCCATATATCGACGCGACTAGCCTAAACCATACTACAACACAGTAAGTTAGAGACCTAGACAATTCAACTAGCCGGAGAGAGGCTGGTTCGAGCCAGGCCCCTGTGCCTGTTTTGACTCTACTGACACCGTCGATCACTGCGAGATGGGAAATGAGTATTCCGTGACTCGATGAATTCTACTGCGTATTCCCATGAAGTATAGCAAAGGCACCGAGCGGCTAGCCGTCCGTGTCGACCGGACTTTGAAGGGCTAGGGCTAATATGTAAGAGTGTAAGAGCGATAAACGAGGGCAAGGTTGCCGAGTTATAGTGTCGCGGAGTGGCTCCGCCGAGGTGTTCAGAAGAAACACAGAGTTATAGTTTCGCGGAGGGCTCCGCCGAGAGTATTATCGTTTAGGAACTTATCCCTCAACTGAAGCACAACCGGACCACCCACAACACCGAGTCGACAGACCGGCAGAGGTGCGTACAACCGTTGTTTCCTTTGAGCTTGGGCGAAATTATCCGCACTGTGGCAGTGCGCGCGAGCGAGAGAGAGGTAGTCGATGGAAATGTATGCACTGTGGCAGTGCACGCGATTGAAGAGCAGGCAGTGGCCGGGAGCGCATGAGAAACGTAGCTTCAATGGAAGAGATGTAATAACGTAAATGGGGTCAGAAGGACACCCAGTGCCAATTTGCTTAGGATTCAGGGATTTAAAGGGGTTAACACCTCCTTATACGCACATAGGTATCGAACAGGGCATAAACTCACCTCGGGATATAATTATGCCGATTCAGCGCCACTGGAGGGATTAGATGGAAACGGGAGGGTCGGTTTGTCTAGCCGAATGTTCTTCGTAGATGTATGCATGACCGAATCAATGACGCGTGTGCGGGTGAAAGGGAGTAATGAATGGCTAGATTAAGGACCAGTGGGAGCTAGACACTCACGCTCGAATTGCATTTTATTTCTCTGATGGGATAGGGCCCTTGGCATCGAACGGTTACGTAATGGGAACATGGGAAGGCCTTGCCCTGGGGTTTAAAGCCAAGTAATTCCATCAGCCGGTGACAAATCCCATCCCTTCCAAATTGAACCCATTCCTCCCCGAGCAGTGAAGACTATATGTTGTAAGGGAATTGCAAGCCTCTCAAATAAATTTGTACTGCACGACGACGGAGCCAGTGCCATGTGGGAATCAGACAGGCGTTAAAGAGGAGACGATACACCTGCCCACCCGGTGTCGTCCTCCGAGGCGGACGATCACACCGCTTACAGCCACACGTCACTCACCGGCACATGTGCACCGCCATGCCGCCCAGCAGCACCGTTACAGTACCTGTGCCCGGAGGGCGTCCCGCGTGGGACGTAACGCATCCGGAATGTGAAAATAATAACCGTAATACCGGACATTCCGACGACGCCCTCTGTGAATGGCCCTGAGTGTGTTCAGTGGGACCGGAGATATTTTAGATGAAAGATCCCGCGGGGAGACTCCAACGCGCGGCTAGAACCATAACCCTGCGCTGGAGACTGCGTGACAGCATAGCAAGCGAACACCAGACATGCGGCCTTGCGGCCAATCGAACATCCATTGTGTATTTTTGTGTGTAGGTTTTACCTCTCTCTGGTCACATCGGACAGTTTCCTTTTTTGGGCGTCATCTGGCACAATCGTTTGGTCGCCGGACGGGCAGCGGAGGCGACCAATGAAGGTTTTTACCGGCCGCCGCCACCCGGCCGAGCGGGGCGGCGGCGGCGGCGTCCAACGACCTTGTGACGGCCGCGGACGGACGGCGGGCGGACGGAGTGCGCTGGTTCCGGCGACCAGCCACGGCCACTGACCCGCCCAGCCACCGCCCGGCACGCTCCGTCCAGCACGGTACGCCAGCGGACAGGATACAGGCCGCATACGCCAGCGGACAGCAGGCAGGCTGGACCGATCACCGGGGCAGAGAGCATCAGTCGACCAGTAGCGCCGTGTATGCTGAGATTGTCGCCGACGCCGTAGTTAGTGCGTGTCTGTCAAGACGGTGGCCTTACCCGGCCGACCTGTGCCCGCCCCGTGACAGAATGCGGTCCCTGCCGCCGCCGCGCCGGCGCTGCCCGTGAAACCGTGAAAGTCAAAGCACGGGTCACGGCGCACGAGACCGGAATGTGGCCGCTTTGCAGGAGCGGGTTTGACGGGCGGCGGCGGCGCCGGGCGTCTCTGCGGTGATAGATGGTACGCGTCTCTGCGGTGACAAATGCTCCGGCGAGCCTCTCGGGCGCCGGAGCATTTGTATTGGAGCGCCGGGCATTGGAGCACGTCCTGCTCCGATGCCCGGCGCTGGCGGGACGCCGCCTGCGGCGCCTGGGTAATATTCACCTGGAAGCGTCTATGGCAAGGGACGACGGCGCGGTGGCGGCCTTGGCCGCCGGCTACCGCGCCCAATTGAGCCTCATCGGCTACGCCCCCTAGGGGGCTGGAGGGAACAACGACGACGACGAGCCTCTCGGGCACCGTAAGACACGTGGCGGTGGTATCTTTGAGCGGATCGACAGTGCAGCGGCCGGGCAGTATCGGCTGCACTGGTCCGATCGGTGCACTCCGCGGTGGTAAATTCTCGATTGATTACAGGGAGACGCCGCGCGAATAACCGTGCGAGTAGTCGTGACAGCGATAGTTGAAAACGGAAACTCACCGGAGCGTTACAGACGAACAAAGAAACAGAGCGGGTCACTCAACCGTGCAGACAAACAGAGCAGATGGGAGCGCAGTCCCACGGTACATCACGTGCTGGGGCGGGTCACGGCCGTGCACTGACCCCTGCCCCTGACCTGTCGACAGGTGCAGTGTCCACATGTCGGGCTCGTCGGTGGCTCTGGTGACCCGGCCGGGTCACGGGTGCGCCTCCTCTCCGCGGCCGGCGGCGCGCGAGCCGGTCCCCGCGCCGGTGGTCGGCCCCCAGTCGCCGGCAGGGGTGTTCCGCGCGGCCATGAACAGGGAGCCGCCGCTGCTGCAGAGGGAGATATCGCAGCTGAGCTTCTCCAGCATCTCTGGACTGTCAGGTGAGTGGTCACTGCTCACTGTTCACTGCTCACTGCTTACTGGCCACTCCGGTCACTGGTCAGGGCAGCGAGGGTGGGCGTGGGCCACGGCACAGGCTCCGGGTGCTCTGCCAGGTGGGAAGGGCATTTGTATGACAGTGCTCGAAAGGAATGCTGTTGTTTTGTGGTCACTTGCACGCTTCACTGAAGCGTAAGAAAACCGCACTATGTCACCTTCACCCTTGGCAATGAAATAGTTAAATAGGAGATAGTGAAATGTAAGAATGTTCCGTGGAATGTGCTGTTCACGCACTACTCCTTGTAGTATCAGCCATTGATCAAGTATACACCTGCTCTGGCTGCGCTTTTCCGCCGTGTCTGTACGAGTCGACAGCATTAGCTCTGCTCTGGTGGTGGGGTCAGAACCCCCGATACGGCTCATGAACGGGACGTTTTCCTGGATGTCTGGGAGGGCAGACAACCCGGAAACACGCCCGGTGCCCCCGGCTTTCCTTTCTCGGAGGGGAGATAGGCCGACTCGGTGCCCGGGAGGGCAGTGTCTGTCTGCTGCGGGGGAGGGCAGTGTCTGTCTGCTGCGGGGGTGGCGGGGCTGGAATGCGGCTTTCACGGCCCGGTCGGCTCGGGTGATTTGCCAGGGACGGGGCGCTGTGCTGTTCAGTGATCCGGGGTTAATATCAGCGGACTGTGAGTCGAGTCGCCTGATTGGTTGAACGGTCAGGAAAGGTCCTTTTGTTTTCAGTTGGTGTGATGTGCTATAAAACGATATCAGCAGCTCGCTGTACTACCTAATAGTTGACCTTGCCTGTCAGCATTTGATAAAGTGTGTCATATGAGCTGACATGTCATCAGTTGTTTCCCTTGTGATGACTCGGACGTCCCACAGCCCATTCCTGATGTTCCACTAGGCGCTGCTCCTCTGACTGTGGTTGTTTGACTGGTCAGCTGGTCAGTCAGTCTGTCCGCCGGCCTGCCTGGTCCGTGGGCTGGTTAGCCTGTCTGTACGGCTGCTTGTCTGTCTGTCTGTCTGTCTGCCTGCCTGCCTGTCTGTCTGTCTGTCTGTCTGTCTGTCTGTCTGTCTGTCTGTCTGTCTGTCTGTCTGTCTGTCTGTCTGTCTGTCTGTCTGTCTGTCTGTCTGTCTGTCTGTCTGTCTGTCTGTCTGTCTGTCTGTCTGTCTGTCTGTCTGTCTGTCTGTCTGTCTGTCTGTCTGTCTGTCTGTCTGTCTGTCTGTCTGTCTGTCTGTCTGTCTGTGGGCCGGTCAGATGGTCCGTGGGCCGGTCCGTCCGTGGGCCGGTCAGCCGGCCGGCAGCTGTGACCCGAGCGGCACACTTTTGTCGTCGCGACATGCGGTCAGGACGGCGGCCGGTGACGTTGCCGCTGATCCGGCGGCGGCCCAGTTGCAGGCTGCAGCGGCGGCAGCTTATTTAGTGGCCTCGTCTCAGTCGGCCGCACCGCGAGGCCGCCCGACCGTGACGGCTGCTGTTTGGGTAGGCAGGCGGCTGAACACACACACGCCGAGCGGTATTCAGGGCGATTGGGCGCTGTCCGGCGCCGGGAACAAATCACCGCTCCGTATGCCAGGGGCTCGCCCGTGTTTACAGCGGCTTTCCGGACCATAGCTCATAGCCGGCTAGAACAAAGACCGCGCGTCGAATTTGAACACGCCGGCTTCCTGCTATTCATGACCGCCTCGTGAGCGCTCATATCTCGACTGATTAGCTTCTCATTGTTTGGTAATTTCCAATCCTGGTCGTCGCTAACAGGCAAAAAGTCGCCGCCGCTCGGCGGCCCGTCCCCGCTGTTCAGTGTTTTGTGTCGCGCTCGGGTTCGATAGGCGTCACGCAGGTCGGGCGCGCCCTGTGCTGTGGGCTGTGTCCGCCACCGGCGACCCACGCCGGCGGCCCGGGCGGGTCGCTCGGAGGACCCGAGGTCAGCGCTGGCCGCTCCGCGTGTCCGGCGCGCCAGGAAGTGAAAAGTGGCCCGCTGTGGGCCGGCCGGGCGGCGCTGGCACGCAATGTTGCCGCGCGGCGCGGTCCACGCGGGGTCGCCGGCGCGGCGTCACGCAGGGTCAGAGGTCATCCGGCCGGTCCGAGCCGGGACAAATTGGGCCGGTCCGTACCGCCCGCTGAGGCCGACGGCGGCCTACGAACGGGGTCAATCCCTCGGGGCATCTGCAGAGCGCCGACCCAGAGCCGGCACATCAATAAACATGCATGGTAGGCATTATACAAATAAAGACATCTCACGTCTCGTTACTTATTTCGTTCTGTGCTCCCCTAAAGTGTAATGCAAGCAGATGCTCAGAAGTATAAGCATCCACTGTCAATGCGACAAAACAAACGCAGCTTCCCCGCTGCCTCCTGACACTGACCCCTTTTCTGTGCTTCCAGTGACGGACGACGCTTCCAGCATGCACACACAGGAGCAGCTGGTGGAGCAAATCAGTGAGGTAAGCACATGCATACCGATCACCATTCCGCTCAAATCGTTCATCGATCACCTGCTGAGATAGGACCGCCGCCACTGCGGGCCCTGACTGTTTGTGCGTCGTCTTGGACGGGAACGCAGCCAAGCCATGGCTAGGTAATTTCCAATCTCGTCCACGCAGCCACAGGCGGGCGTGGAGGGGGGATTAGTGTCTTGGTTCCCAGCAGTCATGTCGGTAATTGACTGGCTGGGCTGAATAAGAAGGAAGGCAACGCACAGTACCTATCTTTAAAGTGTCATTTGCCTCTTCTGGAATTACCTCGCAATCGTGTGAGCTAGTGTGAGTAAAATGGCCAATGCGACGGCTGAGACCGATAGGTATCTCGTCCTTCAATGTCGCCGTCAAAGCGCGGCCTGGGTTATTAGCAATCGCAGAAGATAAGGATAAGATTCGCTCACAGCTCCAGATAAGGAAAGGAAACTTGGGCGGCCTCTACTTTATCAATTATCAGCTGGTGTTTTAGGCAAATAATTAGTATTTTTATAGCATGCATTATTAGATTGTCCCAGTCCTAGTCATGACTAGATGAAGAAGAGATGGCCGACTCGACAATCTCAGAATCGATCCTCGTTTCACATGTCCTGGAGTTTCTATGATGTCACTCATCAAATTGCGGAAGTGTTGCTCGTTGTTTCCGTATTCACTTCATGACTTGTTTTATCACGATAGATAACCACATGCAGCTTTTCCTTTTTAAGCCCACCGTAATGCCTACTCGATCACTAGTCCCATTCCTTCCTACCGAATCCTGCTACAGCAGTCGTCCGCTGCAGCCACTCTCCACCTGCCTAGCTCGCCTGCCGCCTGGTATCCCAAATCGTACCCAGCGCTCCATACCCGCGCCGCGCTGTAACACTCAGCTCATTGTTCGCTCTAATGTGCACTCAGCGTCTCGTTGCTTTCCCACCGCGCCGCCATTTGGACGACCTTCGGACCCCATTCCTGCGCCGGGGTCGTTTTCCTGCAGCTCTGCTCTGCACGCGGAGGGAGGGTCCGCTCTCCGGCTGGCTCTCCGGCCGTACCCCGGGCTGCCCCGAGGCCACTGCGGCGGCCGGCCGGGCGGGACCGGCCATTAACTCAGCCGCCGAAACTCGCCCGGGTCACGCAGTGGGCGGCGATTTGCACGATTTCTCGTCTGGGTGGCGTGGCCCGGGCGCCGGCGGGTGCTGTGCAGCCTTGATAGGTCTTGGAAGGGTGCAGTCAGGGACGGTCATCGGCGTGGGATTACGGACGACCTTCAAAGGGGTGAACGAACAACCTTAGGAGGTGTGCACGTATGATCTTAGGAAACGTGCACGAACGACCTTTCGAGGGACGTACGAACGCTTTGTCGGGAAGAATGGTCGTTGATGCGATAGAGCTGGGAAAGAGGGACGGCCCACGCCCATTGAAAGCGACCTCGCACATCGTGGTCGCAGGAAGAACTCGGTGCAATCCAGACGAGTTAACAGAGACTACAGGAAACCAGGTTCAGGCTGGCCGGGGCGCAGCAAGGCCGCGACTGCGGGAGGACGGACTATACCAGATAACGGTGGTGTATCCCCGAACCATAACGGCCCTGATTCTGATCCGACACACGCCGAGCTTATGTTCGATGACCCGTGACGGCGCGATTCTCCATCTCGGCCGTCGCCGGGTGCTCGCGCCACTTCTTCCGAGCACCTCTCGTATGAAGACGGCCATCCCGCCCGCGCGTGGGTCGAGTCAGGGCGGCGGCGGCGCGGTGTCGTCGGACATCTGTCGGTGCTGTCCGTCTGTCGAGCCCCGGCACCAGCTGACGCTCCGGCGTCGATGGGCAGCTCACAGCGCCAGTCGCTGGGAGCCGCCGTACACATAGCTCCACCGCCGCACCGTTAGCGTATGCGGCCATACGAGCCGGCAGCAGCGGCGGCACAGCCGGGCGCAGTGGACCGATCAGAGAGGTGTGGGAGCACCGGCCAGGACCACGCCCGCTCTCAGATTGTCCGCAGATTTCGGTACTATCCAGTACCATCCGATCCCATTATAGAACAGCTCGTATGACCCAGGCCCAGCCTGGTTAATTATATATCATGATCCGGAAGCGAACCGCACGGCGGCTCCAGTCCGCATTCCATTACGACTCTCCGCCCGTGGTCCTGGACCGCGGTCCGCGGACCACGATCACCGGACCGTCACGGCGATAATCACGCGCTGACCCCAACTAGCCGGCGCTGGCACGCTTTCACGGCTGACGGCTCACCAGGGATTAGGCCCCCGTTGCCCGCGCCACTATCACCAAGCGTTCGCCTCAGTTGGCTGTCAGCGGCCGAAACCACTCGCGTCGGCTCGTTTGTAGGGTAGGACGGCCCCTAAAAATGAGTTTGGGTCGAACCAGTTAGTGTGAAACCGGGGCGGCGAGGGACTCCCTCCACCCCAAGGTCGGCTCCCGTCCTGCGTCAGCTGTGACTGGACCCCTTACTCCCCGCACAGTGCCGCCAGTGACTCACTGTCGACCGGCGTGGGGGCGCCGCGACCCACTAATGGAACGTGACCGTGTTCGGGGTGTTCGTTAGTCGTCTGCCTCTCGTGGCCGCCGGGGGACCAGCGGGAGAGCCGGGTCGTGCGGCGTCGGCTGGTATCAGGTTGCGGCGGGCGGCCCGTCCCGCCGCTGTCGCCCGGTTTGAGGACCGTAGCGGCCCCACTGTGGACCTCTGTGGCCCCGCGGACAGTACCGGCAGGCGGGCCCGCGGCTGCCCCGGCGTTGACTGTCTCATCAGCCGGTCCGGTGTCATGGCGGTGCCGGGGCTGTGCCAGCGGCCGGCGGCCGGCTCTGGCTCCGCCGATGGCTGTCTTTTCTGACTGGCGGTCGGCGCGGGCGGCCTTGGGGGGGGGGGGGGGGGCGACTGTGGTTCCCGGCGGCCCTGCCGTGTCGTTCGCTGATATTCCGGTGTGTGTGAAGCCATGCCTGGACACACTGCGGTGAGAGGGGGGGGGGGGGTCCGATCCGATGGTTTTGTCCTCGTGTCGGTCTTGAACCCCCGTGTTCACGGCCTCGGGGTTGTGATGTTTAGCCCGGCACGCTTCCCGGCGCCTAAACCGACGTCATCGGTGCTGGCTAAAATGGAATGCCGCGAATCTGGGATCCGTGGCCTGGTTTCGCCTTTGATATCGTGCTGCAGATTATCTAGTCGTCGGCAGCGGTCCCGTAGACCTATGTTGCGCGCAACTTAGCCGCGGCGTCGGCGGCGGACCCGGTTTACGTGCTCATACGACCGCACATACATAAATGAGGTTTGTATGGCCATGTGGCCGTGAATGACTGGTAGAAAAGGTTGTGCATAGATTCCGGTGCTGTGATGGCACCGCACGCAAAGCACAGCGCCTCACGGAAAGTAGGAACGGTGCATTGTTAGCGTACTTTAAACGCACCTACCCCTACCTAAGAATCACGTGCTGTTCATGAGGCCTGTGAGCACGGGCGCCGATGACTTTTCTGCCGCTCCGTTCTGGCCTGCGGGATGACAACTTTGCCTTGCCAGCGCATGTGGGGACTCACATTTGGCAGCTGCTCGCACGGGTTACCGTGGGTGGGCAGGGTTCGCGAAAGTGTCGGCTGCCAGCTTGCCGCAGATTGCAGTGTCGCGACGCTTACTCGGAGTCTCGAGATTGGGGAGCCGGCAGGCAGCGGCGTAGTCGGTGTAGTTGTGTCCGGGCATGATCTTGCATGCATTTTGTCTGTGCTTGCTCGATTCCTGCACTCAGAATACACTTTGAGAGCAGTTTGAATAAAGACTCAATTGAGCGCAGAAACCAGCCTCAAATGTGTCTGATTTTAAAACGGTTTCAGTAAGGCTTCCTAAGGGCTCATGTACCCGAATACTGGATTCAAGCGATACCGAAACTGGGGTTCGGACTGGAAACTGGTTTCATAGTGAGACTAATTTTTAAAAGCTTGACACCGAAAATAGGTACCGACTGAGCTCTGTTTCTGCGATCAATGGCGTTGCTCAGAAAATATTCTCAAAATGTGTGATCTGTTTTGAATCGGGGACATTAGCCCGAAACTGATCTCTGAGACCCAAAATGGAGAAACTGTTTTCTCAGTGTGTGCGGATTGTTCGTTCGGTCTCGTCTGCCACCGTTGAGCCCAGTGTTGCAGACATTGGACGAAAGAAGTTCATAGTCTGTCGATAGCTAGATGCCTGTCGAGTTGCAGAGCAGCCGATGCATGACGCAGACCGGGTGTGTATGTGTGTGTGGGGGGGGGGGGGTGCGTGGGTGTGTGTGTGTGTGTGTGTGTGTGTGCGTGTGTGTTAAGCGCAAAGTGGCCGAGGCGTCGGCAGCGGACCAGGTGTGTAGTGTAGACAGAGTGGCCGAGGCGTCGGCGGCGGACCAGGTGTGTAGTGTAGACAGAGTAGCCGAGGCGTCGGCAGCGGACCAGGTGTGTAGTGTAGACAGAGTGGTCGAGGCGTCGGCGCCGGACCGGATGTATGCGTATGTCGATTTGCAGAAATACGGAGGCGGCCACTTAGAAAATACTTTGAGACCTTTTTACAAAGAGACTCCTTAAGTGCTAAACCGAGCCTCCAAGGTGACTGGCTGAGATGTGTTTCTGCGGCAGCGTATGTCCATCAGGTTGCGTTCGGAAGCGCTTCTCGAAATGCGTGGTCTGTTTTGACAAGGGGCATTATCCCATCTAACCAACCCCGCCACGTTGCCTCGTCAACAAGTGCTGCTTTATCTCGCTATTGAAGCGGCTCCCAGGCAGGTTTCGTGTCAGGTTTCGTGGCAAGATGTTTTATGCGATGACAATAGCGTGTCTGAACTACGCCTGCCAGACTCCGATCGAATCACCGGCGTGACTAAATGGTCTGCGTTCCGTGTTGTACGGTACGGCGGTGAACCTCCACGAGTGACCAGGTCGCCGGCGATCGACTCAGGCTCTGATGTCACTAAAATGCGCTTTAGTAAGCTAAGTGCCTACCGTGTTGCAGAGGGCC